TGAAAGAAACTAAATGTTAATTTTTAAATGTTTAATATACTAAACAGTTTTTGCTGATTTACCTTTTTTGCCTAAATGCTGATGTGAAAGAAAATAAATGTTAACTTTTTAATTTTTAACTATACTAACTACTACTATACAATTTTTTCCCCAATTCCATAAGTTTCAGAAATGGCTTCAACCAGTTCTTGCAACAAACCGCAATTCTTTTTCGTATTTTCTCTGCAACAATGAAACTTAACTTCCATCTCCCATTCTCTTCCTCGCGCTTTACCAATTGATTAATTTTCTGAATTCAAATATACCTCTGGCATTTTATGCCCCTAACCGCCAAGTTTTTCACGCGCTGTCAGTGACTTTAGTTGGTATATAGTTACACGGATTTCACAATATTTTACAGAACGCTCATCGTTAATTTTTTCCTCCCGAGACTGGTATCTGCTGACGAAACTATATACTCCTGCCGAGAGTAGAAGCGTCGGCAGAGACAAAGCCAGAAAATATCTAATTAAGGCCTTTAAAAACTAATATACGAGTATATGATTAATATGTAAATTTCATTGCTAAATTTATAGTGGCTTATTAAATTTCAGGACGAAACAGCGGCTCAGCCGCCATTCCGTCGAAACATCAAATGGCTCTAACTGGCGCCGTGGTAACAGTAAAGGATAATATAATAATCGTTATTTTCATTTTACCACCATTTTGCCAGTAAGCCATAAAGTGATTTGTTACACTTTTTGCGCTGGACAGCTCCAGCGCTTTGTCTTATGTCGCGTCTGCGGAGACTTCATTACGTCGAAGCAAACTGGTGATTCAAGAGTTCGTACCGGCAAGTATAATCAAGTGCTCAGAAAATCAAGAATGAAAAAGGCCAATAAATGTATCGAGATGTTTTAGTTCACCTCCACGCAGATACAATGTTTTATGAAAATACAACAAATACCTTATAAAAAATTGTATATTGTCTAAAGTTACTTAGTTGTGATACAGTTTTAGTTTTTTTATATTTATTGGATTTTGACACTTAGAAAATAAAATAAACCTTTGGGGCAAAAGGATCACTCAAGGATTCTTTTTCTAAAAATATTTTTTCCTACAGATTGAATTTCGAAACGTCAACAACTTTTTGAAGTGCATTGAAGTGAAGATATTTTTTACGTTGACAAAGTTATTATTTTTTTTTATTCTGTATCAGTATGATTTAGACCCATTTCACAGATATCGATTTGCTTGAAAAATAAAGTATATACAATGCAATGTTTAAATTTCTTATTTTTTGGATCTGTTTGATGTAAAATATTAATATATAACCACTAGACTGCATTTGAATACTATACGTTTTTTATTTCTACACCACTATTTTTATATCTATATGAGTGTTTTTTTTTGTAACGTTGATTAAAGATTGTAAAATTATAAGTTAAATTTTAAAGAAATCTTTAAAAATGTGAGACGCAAATTGTAGTTTACTGTTTTTTTCCATTTTAATTGTAGTTAACAGTGCTATAATAATACATTTTTTTAATACAATTTGTTTCCTGTGCAGAAACACATTATTTTAAAAATAACTTTGTTACTAGTGTCAACAGTATCCAGAGATAACCTGTATATTACTGTATATTGGTTTATTACTAATTTTTGAACTAGAATCAATAAACTTTTTACACTATGAGTGTATTCCCTTTATTACTACAATGCTGTGATGTCCAAAGGTGAAACTAGACCAAGTTAAATATTTATTTTCATATTTGAGAATTCTTTACAGCAAAAGGGATCTGGTGATAATATTTATAACGTGATTCATGAAATTTTAAATAGCGACATCATTAGTAGTAAAATTATTAAAAAATTACATTGTTAAGGACTCTGAACATGAATATAGTCATCTGCATGGTTTTGGTTTAAATGAACGACTGTAAACTTTACTTTACAATATTTTTTCCTATTTGATATACCAACTGTAAAGACGCATCCAAATTACTGAATACATTTAACATTTCTGAAATATATGTTAATGTTGTGAGGAACACAATAAATATGTATAATTAAATCGTTTATAAATAAGTGTTAATAATTTAGGAATGGGTATCTTAATAAAGATAAGAAAAAACTTTATAGTTCCAAATTTATTTTTAAAATTGAAATATTTGGGAACAGGAAACGTTGATGATATATTTTTAAGCAATATTTCTTTATAGGATTCGTTTTGTTTAATATCACATTTGCATTTTAATAAGGACGACAACATTCTCCTAATTTAGACAAAATTGACGTTTCAATATCATATTTAAAATATTCATACAAATTAACAGACAACTCGCCATTCATTTCGGTAAATAGTGTTTGATAATAATTCTCGCCACGTGACATAATTTAATCAAATCAAATATGAAGAAATTAGTTACTAATGAAATTTATGTTTTATATGCCATTCGTAATAGACAAAAATCGTGAAATAGTTTCCATTTACAGTACTAGTTACTTTGTAGGGTCGGTCGACCTCAAAATATCACAGTTTTAATAAACGACAGATTTAACATATTTGCTTAAAAATTGTTGAAACCTACAGCTTTTGCATTGAATATTTTTTTCAGAATTTCGATAAAGAAATAAAACAAATTTGAATTCAAAACAACATGCTAAGTGATTTGTTTCTAAAAGTTTGTCAGTATTATAACTTTAAAATACTTTGATAAATTGTTTTGTTACTCTATCGTCCACGATTTTTACTCACAAGCATAAAAATATACACTGTCTAAAAAAACGTTTCTGTCATGCCATATCATGATATTTTGCAGTAGGTTAAAAATTGTAGAAGTTAAAGGTACAGTAATATTGTTATCGTTTTGGTTTATTTACAAAAGTTACTTCAAATTCACGAAAAAGACTTACGATAATTTAGCTATTTTTTAAAACAATATGAATTTAATAAAAATGATAATAGAAAATTATTTTGAAAGTAGTTTGCTGATAAATACTCGGTCTAGAATTTTACAATATTATGAACATATTAAAAATTTCATTGTCGGAATTTACATTTATAATTTTTGAGTAAATATTATTTGGCTACAATTACACTAATTTATATCAGCTGTTGATCTATTTTGAATAAGAAACTAAATAAAATGCTCCTTTATTGAAAGTCAAAATTTTGACAGAAAAGTTCTCAAAATAAACCTTTTAAGATGAAATCGTTATTAAGATGTATCGAAAATTATAAAAATACCGTTTTCATGCAAAGAGACATTCAAACTTTGAATCATTTTTTCTTTATATTTAATTCTATTGTTTTTTCATTATCTTTTTTCAACGTACTGTGTTTTTATGTTTAATTTCTTGTTGTTTTTTTTTAATAAAATTAAAAATCTCAAACAATTTGAAACGTTTTTTAAGTAGAACCAACTAAACCAATAAAATAAAAATCGCAGTGACATACAAGTTGTATACAGAGTGAGTAGAGACGAAAGAGCCGCACCACAAGGTTTTATATAGCACCTAATGCAATTTTGTTTTCTTAAAAAGTTACGGACTTGCAAAGAAAATTTTTTTTATTTAACTTTTTCAAGCCTACTTAGATTCTTTTGAATCTAGTACCGCAAAATTAAATTCACATGAGTTATGAGTGACAGGAAGGTGGTCTAAATAAAAAAAAAGCTAATTTCGTTGCAAATTTACTAAAAAATTTTAATTAGATTAGAATACCGCCGTCCTAGGTAACAAAAAATATTACAGAAAACTCTGAAGTTTCTAAATCAGCGCATATATATAAATAGCGTTGTAGTAGAATGGTTTTATAATAGGGCAAAATTGATTACTGATTATTTTCAAAAATGAAATAGGACATGTGGAAAAATCTGTTGACAGAACACTTAAAATATTGTAAATAAAAATAATTCTGAAAGACAACAACAAACAAGCGAATGAAACAAAAACAGAGAGTTTTCGAAACGTGAACTGTGTCTTGTGTTGTAGTGTATTGAAAATTGTACATTTTTTTAGTGGGAGACCCAGTAAGAACAAGAACGTTAAAATAACAACTATTGATACATTAACCTTCAGTTGAATAACCATTTAAATGTCCCGCCAATCCACGAATCTTTTAAATAGAATTTTGATATTATTTTACGTTTTTTCGGCACTACAATCTAAAGTTTCTTCCTTTGTCTTTAGACCAGTAATTTAGCTTTGACAAATTTTCCCTACTTTTATAAAGTTCAATTGTAACGTTTACGTAATCTATGCTTCTTATAATAAGTTATAAAGTTCGGTGGAAAATTGAAATGTTATGTTTTCAACCTTAAGAGTTACATTGACCAAAATAACGTTATTTTAACGATTTTCTCAACCCATGAGGATACCTCTGGTTGGGCAAAACTAACATTATGAAATCAACCCTTTGACTAATCCCTTTGTCGCAAGGGCTATTTCATTAAAAAAAAATCCTTTATGCTGCAGAAAAGCCAATTGTATAATAATAGTAACAAAAAATGCCACGAATAAATAATTACAAAATAAATTTTTACTAATGTTTCGAATTATATTTAGGAAAGGAAGTAAATTACAGCTAAAATTATTACAGCTATGTTTATTTCTCAACCCTCACTTGTGTCATTAAAGTGATATTAAAGTTGATTTATTTTATTTTTTTATACATGGAAATCTTTCCAAATTTGGAAGTTGGTTGCGTTCATAGTTCAGCAAGGACCTCACGACGTAATTTTTAGCAGTTCCGCGGCAACGCATCCGAGCTCTCGAGAAGTGAACTGAACTGGACGTTTATAAAAATCGCCGTAGACCTCTCTAAGCAGTCACCCCACCCCTAGATTCACACCAATGACTTGGAGTTATAACATAAAAACCGAGATAGTATCCGAACGACACTAATTCAAATATCAATAATTTACCCCTCCCCACGGCCCCACCACGGCCGGCCGATGTCTTCAACAGGTAGAATTATATCTAAAGTCCCCTCCCGAGTAAGCATCCCGAGTCGGAGGTGTTCCTTACTCATTCCTCGCCAGATCCTCGCTGTGGTATCACAGATGACTCTGACAGATTCCGATACCTGCCGCCGCATCAGCTGATAGACCCCACAGGGCACATCTCTTGGACTCATTCCGCTGACGGTGTGAAGTGACGGCGCAAACAACGTGCGATTTCGAAATTAGCACCAGTGAAAGTGTGATTGTTCGCCGGATTACCAAGTGATTAGTGCCGAATTGTCAAACTGGACTGGATGTGCTGGTAGTGTTTGGTGTGAGGGACCCTGGGAGAGCTCGTTTGGTGCGTCCGGCGTCGCGGCCCGATTTGCTTGAAGGTAGGTGCTATTTTGCTTGTTTGGCTTGGGCGGAACGGCGGAAGCGGCGCGGAGATCTCGGCGGGCAATAAGGCGCGAAACCTGCCGCCGGAGACCGCAGCGAGCGGTTAGGCGAGCAACGCGGTGATATATGGGTTTTAGCTGTAGGTTGAGAATACCATTAAAACAACATTTGTTGAGCCCAAATATATTCAAATAACAATAAATAACCGTTCTAGTTATATGACATATTAATTTTACGAAGCTTGTTATCAAATACGTCCCATTTCATGTGATTGGATAAAATTTTTGCTCTTTGCTATCGTTTCGATAAAATTCCTACCTCCCTCATGGCTAAAATCGTGCCGAAACGTTTGCAAAATGTGAAAATGACAGAAATAAATAAATGGTCTTACTATACACAGTGAAAGAGACACCATTTTATAAAATCAAGATGTACATAGATTCATAGTTAAGAAAAAACTGTAAAAATACAAGAAATGTGAAAAATTATCTTTTAAATTAAACTAAATAATACGAACAGAAAAAAAAACAAACAAATAACAAATTAAACCATCTATTTATTTCTACGAATTTATTTGTATACTCTGACAAACATTTCGGCAGAATGTGTGCCTTCTCCAGGGCTAAAATTGGTGTCGAAACGTCGGCAAAGCGTGAAAATGACAGAAATACATAAACGGTCTTACTATATGCAGTGAAAGAGACAAAATTTTATGAAGCTAAGAAAAAACTGTGTAAAAATACAAACAAACGTGAAAAAATATCTTTTAAAATAAGCGTAATTGAGCTAAGTAATAAGAACAGAAAAAACAAACAAATAACAAAATTAAACCATCTATTTATTTCTGCGAATTTATTTTGATACTTTGCCAAACGTTTTGTCAGAATTTCTGCCTTCTTCAGGACTAAAATGGCGCCAAAGTCCAAAAATTTATAGAAATGATAGTCCAATCGTTATTTTTCCTACACGACAATCAAGAAGTATATAATATATTTTTTTTACTAATTTGCAGAAAGGCATAATGTGACAAATTATCTTTTCAAGATAAATCTAATTAAACTAAGTGTAGTGATTGTCTTATTAGCTGTAGTGATAATCTTATATACAAAGATAATCAATTTTATGTTGACGATGTACTTTTATCGCAACATAAATAATATATTGTCAATAATTTTTCTTAGTTACCACAAACCTTAGCTGATCTGATAAAAATAAATAAATCTTTATAAAGAATTCACCTGGTAGTCTTAAAGGTTGACCATAAAGTAGTTCTGCTGAAGAGCAGTCTAGATCAGTTTTAATAGATGCTCTTATTCCTAAAAGAACTATAGGTAGTTCTTTGACCCAATTATTGGTTTCGCATTTTGCTATCAGAGCAGCTTTAAGTGTTCTATGGAATCTTTCTACTATACTAGTCCATTACTTTGCGGATGATATGTAGTAGTATGAATCCGATGAGAACCTAAATATCTTGAAAAAGTTTTGACTCAAAAACTGATCCTTGATCTGTTGTTATAGTATTGGGTATACTAAAACGACAAAAATATTCACTAAACAGTTTTTTTACTATAGTTTCTGTATTAATATTAAACAGACGATAAGCTTCAGTCCATCTAGTGAATCTTTCAACCACTGTATATTAATGAGCTAATTGGAGATTTAGTATGTCTTGTAATTTTAGGTTTTTGACAATCTATGCAAGCTTTTGTCCATAGAGTGATCTCTGCATTCATTTTTGGCCAAAAATATCTTGAATTTATTAATTTTGAAGGGGGAGTAGCTGTAGTGATTGTCTTATTAACTATAGTGATACTCTTATATACAAAGATAAGCAATAAGACCATCGCTATAGCTAATAAGACAATCACTATACTAAGTACCTAATAAGAACAAAAAAACAACAAAAGTAACAGGTAAATCGAACCAACTATTTATTTTTATGCATTTTTACATTTTAAAACCCAGTTCGGCGGAATAACTTCCTTCTTCAGGTATGAAGGTGTAATTTATCACCAAACAAATAATAATTATGGAAAATAACAAGTAAAAAACATCTATTTGTGCTTGCAGATTTGTATGCTTTGCTAAACGTTTCGAAAAAATTCCTTCCTTCTTCAGGGCTAAAACTGTGTAGGCAAAGTGTACAAACTTAGAAAAACGAATAAATGGACCAATTTGTTTGCCGTTTCTTGTACATAATAAAATATACAGTGTAATAGTCAAAATTTTATAGAACTACAGTGTACATAACTATGAAAAATTTCACTTATTTGCAACAGAATTTACTTATTTCAGGTGTTTTAAATTATATTTTAAAATAAGTTTAAGTAATCACTCTAAGTACCTAATACCTATAATAGACACACAAAATGGTCAAAAAAAATGAGAAACCACAACTAAAAAATAGGTTAAAATGTGTGTTACGTACCTATAAAAATATGTTATTAATAGAAATTATATATAACTAACAACAAACTGGTTAGATCTAGTAAAATTTTAGAAAACAAGAAATTTTGATAAAATCATCTATGAAATATTTAAAAAACTGGAAATATTATCCTGAAAGCTTAAGTTAATATTACTTTGATTCACTGAATCTCTTACCGTCAATAGAAACCATGACTTTACTGAAATTGTCTGTCTACGTCATATTTGTGAGTACAAAATCAACACTAACTTTTCGTAACAAAAACACTACAGTCATTATAAAAATAATAAACTTTGTTTCTAGCGAAGACATTTAAATATTATATTTTTATCAAAATTAAGATCAGTGAAACCATACTACGAGTTACGTCTTCATTAAGAAATAATATATTTGTCATATTTCCAAATGACATCTGGTGAGACTAATTGTAAGCCACCAGATGTGCTAACGATTCTGAAAATATATAATTTTTATTCCCTCAACAAACAGAAGCTTCCAATAATTTACATACGAACGTCTTCCTCTATTTTGTTACTTTTCAGGTACCCATATTGATATTCTAAAACCGGTTTATAACACAAAAAATATCTTATGCTTTCCACAATATAAAAATTATTCGTTTGCGGCCTTATTCCCAAATGTACTAAAATAGCTATGATGTCAGATTTATTTTGCTACTTAATCTTAGCTTCAGCATATTAGCTGCCGGATTAAAGAGTATAAAAATGTTGACACAGGAAGCTTTTGTTTATATTCGTAAAGACCTTGAAGTAGGTAAAATTTGAGAACAACGCCCAACCCCTTCCGTGCAAAAGTCGTAGAAAACCCGCTTGTTTCGAGGAAGATCTAATCTCTCTATTACCTCGTCCAAAGCCTCATTATGAGAGAAATTATTTGGGAGCTGTAAATCCGGTAGCATGGCGATTTCACGGAGTATTACACGCCCAGGGTTGCCAACCGTGGGGTTAATCCATCCGAAATCAGGCCGTAAATGCGGTCAGCCAGCTAACCACAATACAATGTGTCGAAGTCAATCGTCCTTTCCGTGATTTTACAGGCAATTTGTAAAGGATAATACCGGGAACACTTAGAGATAGCCATCTCGACAGAAATTTGTTGCCCAGATAATCATCTTGAATTAACAGGGTCTTAAGTTTGAAGTTGTCCCTCAAGGAGGAACCTGTGACTCACTTTTATTCCCTGAAAGAGATTGGTGTATGAATGAAATGTTTTTCCTCAAATTTCTTTTGTGGTTCAAGCAAAAACGTACTGCACTGTCGCTGGGCATTATTTCCTCAAAAATTTTATTGAATCAATTCAGTTTTATCGTAATTATCCTGCCCCTATAAGAACGAGCTCCACCAGCCAAGAAAATTAGCGGTAATCGAGATCAGAACAGTCCGATAGCAGGAATTACCTTGTCATTACCAGCCCAAGAGCCGAGGCTAGCAACAAGGACCTTATAAAGAGTCAATTATTTTATATTAACACCGTCCGTATCCTAGTTATGCTGAAATAGCCGAGCAAATTGTTATTTTCAGGAATCCCGAGTCCGATATACCAGATCTGGGCGATTTAGTCGGTTGGATATCGCCAATCCAATTATTTTGAATGTTTTCTGGAGATCTAATTAAAATTGCGGGAAATATTTAGCTGCCCTCCGCTTTGGTTAATTAGATATTTTAAAGACAATAATCGAAGCAAACAGGGACGCCGAAAGCGGGGAAAGCAACTGGAATCTTTGCTCTTGTTCTTAATACGAAAGACAAACTGTTCCGTAAATATTTATTTAACGCGAATAAATCACCTTTCTAAATCAACTCTGCCATGATTTGGTACCTAAATGAAACTACTCTACACTACGAAGAACAGCAATGTTGATTTAAAATTTGACGTAAAAAAAAAGAGAAATCCACTTGGCTTTTAGTATAGTCTGGGCTGTAAAGCAAAATACACAGAGAAAGATATTAATTTGAATTGAGAATGCGTTTATTTACATAAGTACAGTAGGTACACCATAATCTCCAACCAAGTAAAATTTATTCATTTAAATATAGTTTTCTTGGCAAAAGAGACTCAAACTTGATATATACCGGTATAAGTACACAAATAAATGTATTGTTAATTCAAGATACTCAAGATATCATTTTCTCCATCATAGATAATTTTTCTAAGGGTATTAATAAGCAAACAAACTCATAAACTAAAAAACACTTCCAAACAATGTCTTTTATTGTCTATAAACAAAGAAAAAAGTATTACCTTGATTCAAGACTACATTTCTAGTATTTGTTCTTATAAATTTAAGTACAGCTATTTTACTTAGTTCAGAATTACAGTTTGCTCAGACTAAACGCAGCTTAATAGTTTATTTTAGATAATTAATTGCGAAATTTTGTTCAATGAAGTAAATAAATATTGATGGACGAAGAATTATTTTTGAATCATTTTTCAACAATTTTATAATGGTACGTCTCTGAGTCCATCCGGTACATTTATGTTTATAAACATTTCCGCATCAAACATCTGAGTTTTCTCGGTGTAATTTACAAATCATCTCCGCATAAT